AATGTTGATGCACGTTATATTATTAACTTGCCAATGTTAGCCATCTGGCTATCTGACACTGGCAGCCTTTTGGCAAGATCTTGTGAAGCCAACCCATTTGGTTTTCACACTACTCAAAAACTCATCCTTGTTTCCAGTTTTTGCTAAATGTAGCTTGGGTTTACATCTGTACAGTCTGTATGACTGACGAATGAAGATTGAGTGCTACAGTGGGAATTTATCCTTCTGTGGCTTTAACTTGCTATGAAAGACATAGTGGTGTTTGCAACTGAAGCCTATGTTTGTGTCTTTGCACTTAAAGGATAAGGCTGGTCATTTTACATTTGAAGTCAAAGGTTTACAAACACCTTAACCAATACATTTAAACTCAATTTTTCACAACTCCTGATATTAATCCTATAAACATCCCCTGTCTTAGGTCAGTAATAGCAGAGGAAAATATTTATTTCAGCTTTTATTCCTTTCATCACATTCCCAGTGGGTCAGAAGTTTACATAGACCACAAGTTTTTTACAATCGGTTGCCTGAATTTTAGCCCATTCCTCTCAAAAGAACTGGTGGAACTGAGTCAGGGTTGGAGGCCTCCTTGCTCACACACGCTTTTTCTGTTTTGCCCACAGATTTTATATTGGACTGAGGTCAGGGCTTTGTTATGGCTGCTCCAATACTTTGACTGTGGTTCTTAAGTTGTTTTGCCACAACTTTGGAAGTTGTAAGCTTGGAGGCACTGAAGACCATTTGTGACCAAGCTTTAACTTCCTGATGTCCTGAGATGTTGCTTCAGTATATCCACATCATCAGTCCTGGATTAGCTTGTTCTTCCGTGCCACAGACCTCTGTTGTTGTTCAAAAATGATTAAAAACACATCAGTGAAACACACCACTGCACTGGGTGACATATTTCTTCATTAGCAAACACCAGACCTGAGTGTGAGGAGCTAGTGGAGTATAAACAAAGCTGAGAGCCTGCACAAGATCTTGAGCATGCACAGCTGACTCTGACTCGTGCTAACTTAAGGAAATTATGGCCGCTGTGAGACTTCAGGGCAGCTTAGCCAGGTCTGGGGTCTCTCAGGTTCTTTCAGGAAGTCCTGTTTGAGTTTTGACAGTATTAACTCAATTTAGTTCAATTTTATTTTATTTTTATTTTAGTGGCATCATGCAGTAATAGTGCAGAACTCATATTTTCATTTAACATTTTATTTTATATATTTTTATTTTCAATTATTTTTTATATATTTTCATTTAACATTTTAACATTTAAGTAAGCCTATAGGTGTTAGTACACACTGATAAAAAAAAAAACATTATGGTACTTAGGTTGTTTAAATGAATATCCAGCCACTACAGTGTCTGACCCTTGGGCAAATGAAGTTGATGACCCCTGCAGGAAAGGTCATAAACCCTGCCCCCTCCATGTTAGTGGAGGGGGCAGGAGACAAACTAAGAATTCAAAGTACAAATCAAATAGTTTTTTCCTAAAGTGAGTTGTTTTTAATTGTTATTTGATGATATAAAGAGAAGTGTATTTTCGATAATTTGACAGGATGGATTGCTGATCTGATACAGTGGCTCCATATAATAAAAAAGATGGCATCGCCTCGTATTAGCAATACTTTGGCTTCATCTTTGCATAGTGGCAGGAAGTGGTGATGTGTCATCCATTTTCTATACAATCTTTGTTAAATATTAGAATGTTAGCACTGTGTCATTAGGGGGTTTTCCATTATAGGACCATACTGAAACGTGTTGCGCCGAGTAACACTCGTCACAGGTTTTGTATTTGTTTCCACTACGGTGCACCCGCTTTGGAGGTGCATTCTGGGATCTAAATTTCAGTACCTCTCAGGAAGTAGTACTAAGATCAAGTACCAGGACCACAAGGGAGGAGGGGGGTGTGTGAGCGCAGATTGGTTAAACCTCCATGTCTTCACACTTTAAGCATTAGCATTACAGGCATCGTGTATAAACACAGTTGACTATGTGTGTGAGAGAGCAGCAGCCCCTCCATCCTCTAAACAGAGACCGACAGAAAGAAAATACAGTGTGAAAACAAAGCAGGACGGTCCACATCAACCCTGGAGGCTATGCTTGGTGATGTTTAAGGGAAGTACAGGGTATACTCGTTAGGTTCCAGTAGTGGAAATGCAGCAATTGTGGGCATGTCAGCTTAAAGCACCATTGTGCTTCAGTCTCATAGAGCTGCTAACATGGTTGTATACTCTTAGTTTTCATGTGAAATAAATTATTTTTGGCTTGATCCAATTTATTATCTCTTTGTTATTGCCTTTTGTAACAGTCTAAATTAAATTCAGGCCAGAGCCTTCCTTATATGATATACAAATAGGTGAACCGGTCCGACCAGAAGGCCCACACCCTGGTTAAAATATGATGAGTGGTTGTGCTACTGAATTGTAATCTACTGTATATTATCAATAGGCCTATTAAATGTAAATGCATTAATGCTCCAGGGCTGCAATTTCTGATAGATAATACAAAAAGTCTTTTATGATTATTGTGGAAAAAAAACTTATTTTTGCTAACTGCAGCTGCACTGACATGTTTCACAAATTCACATCAGAATTTGCTAAATTAAATTCGTACATAGCTTCTTCATTATTTACAGCTAAAATGTTTCTGTTTGCTGGAACCACTCAAGTTTGTCTCCAATCCAGTAATATTCCTCTTGACCTGTGCACTTGTCAAACGGTCAGTTGTCAGGTGCTTTTTAAATGTGTTGGTGCTGAACCTCTCCTCTCTCTGTTCCCTAACTGCCAAGTATAGTTTTCCCAAGTATAGTTCCTTTCCCCAAGCTCTGTGTCTCTGCTGCTCTCCTCTCTCCAAACCTGCCCTACTTTCACACCACTCTCACAATATACGAGTTTCACACTCCTTCCCTCTCCTCTCGCTTCCCCCACCCCCCTCTCTCTCTCACACACGCACACACACAGTGGAAGGCTCAGTTTTACCTCAAATATACAGTACATTTTCACATATTATCATTGTATATGTGTAAGCGTTACAATGACACTAGCTTTTTTCCACTATGCATGCAGGTTTTTATGCCATGCACCAGAATCCTTACAGGTTGTAACACAGCACAGTAGTACAGATCAGTACATTACAGCACAATGAAGGACGAGGTTTAGCCACATACTGACGTGGCCTTGTTGTTTCCACTAACAAATATGAAGTCACACAGATGCCAGTGTGCATGTGTAATTCTTCTTCTGGCAGTGTTTGCAGACTGCTTGAGGTGCACAAGGCCTTTGAAATATTAATCAGTCCTAACCTGAATGACTGTATTAATCAAAACTGGTTTTAACATGTCAAGTTGTTTTTTTCAACTGATGGAAAACAGATCTTCCAGCCTGGCAGCTTGTGGTGTCATAAGATGTCTCTGAGTGCTCCTGTGTGTTGTTTTCAGTCTTAAGATATGTGAAAGTGTCTTGAGGTGTGATAGAAATAAGCTTAAGGAGCACTAAGGTGCCATTAGATACTTTAGGGTTTCCAAATATGCCATTAAGTGGGCGTTTGCTTATCTCAGTGGGTCTTTGCAGTACCCCAGGTTAGGGTAACCTGTGTTTTGATAGTGGTATCCTGGGATGTTCTGGGATGTCAGGATGCTAAAAGTATTCAAGGGCATCTTTGGTATAATCCAAGAAAAACTGGTTTTCTATGTGAGAACTAAATGCTTAGAAAGGCCCCAGAACAGCTCACATGAACAAATAACCAGGATGTTTTGTCAGATGCTATGTTGTTGTTGTTCATACGACAACAGTCATATTTAAAATTTTGAGTAAAACACTCATAATGGTACAAGTTATGATTTGGGTTGATTGTAATTTGTATTTGCTCACTGTTTATTGTGTGCCACCTGATGGCTCATTTACTGGCTCAAAGTTGCAGATTTTTCAGCAGTGATTACATAAAACCGAGCAATGGGGTTCCATGTGGTTGTTGGGCTACTTTTCCTATAAAATAAATAAATAAATACATCTCAGTATTACATTAAAATGTAATAGTGGAAACCAGCATAAAAGCTTTCTGGAGAGACTGTAGAGAGAGACAGCAAGAGGAGTGAAACCCTGAAACAACAACCAGAAGGGGCAAGAGGAGAGAGTGCACAACGAAGTGACAAAGTGTGTGTGTGTGTGTGTGTAGAGAGAGGGAGCCAGGCCTAGTTTTTAGTGTGTGATCTAGGCCATTATCTGTGTTAGCACTGGTGGGGCTCCAACAGGCTCTGTGGATTCTGCATAAACAATACCTTTTATGAGCTTCTATGTGTGTGTGTGTGTGTGTACTACTGTAGACTCACACATATGCGATCATGTACGTTAGCACCATACATGATGTACGTATGCACGTCTTCCTTTTGTTTCTTGCCACTGAGTGTGTGTCTGTGTATTTTCCAGTGTCTTCACATGCGTGTACGTGTCTTCTCACGTGCAGCTGTGCGCTCTTGCTGTATCACCCCCGTCGTCAGTCAACCCCCTTCTCCAGCAGCGCCCTGGGGGCCTTCATTATGTAAGAAAGACATTACTGCAGAACAGAGGCAGAGCGGCAGAGAGACATTACTGCAGAACAGAGACAGCCAGCCCTGATAACTCTGGCAGCCCCTGCTTCAATACAACGCACCCAGGCCTCCTTAACACACACACACAGTCAAAGCGTGCAGCAGAGGTGTGATCGGGATAATTGTGAGGACTGGGTGCTTCTGGTGTTTATGGGAAAGCTTGTTGAAGAAGACAGGAAATATCAATAAATCATGTTCTGCATTATAGTAAACATTCTTCTCTTTTTTCCTGCTTCACCTTCTTTCTTTCCCTCCATCATCAAACTACCCTCTATCTATATGTCTACACACCCATTCAAACTCTCCACCCCTCTCAAATAAATGCTATATGTTATACTCCCTCCTCCCTCTATCATTCATTGTCCTCTGCCTCACATTTTCTCTCTTCCCTGTCTTCTCCATCTTCCCCACCCTCCCTTGCCAGCGGTCCCCTTCCCCCTGGCCCACCGGCTGACCATGAAGGAAGTGTTTGATGCTGAGGGCCGGCCGAGGGTGGACCTGCTCAAAGCTCACCTCACCAAGGAGGGACGGCTGGAGGAGGCAGTGGCTCTGCGCATCATCGATGAGGGTGCCGCCATTCTGCGCCAGGAGCGCACTATGTTGGACATCGAGGCGCCAGTCACCGGTATGGTATAGAGCAAGGGAGTGTTTAGTGAACAATGACAGTACTGTTAGTAAAAAAAATATTCTGGGAAATATTCATACTCACTTTCTTGCCAAATAACTACTCCTGAATTTTTTGTTACCTTTGGACAGAGCCAGGCCATTTGTTTCCTCCTGTCTTCAGTCAGGTTTTCTGCAATAAAGCCAACAAGTACATTTCCCACATTGTTCTTTTAAAATCAGTTAGGGAAGCTCCTGCCGAGTCCACCTGCAAAAGAAAAGCTATGTGTTTATATGTGTGCATAAGTGACAAGCGAGCAGATCACACATTTTCACAGTGACACAGATAGCAACAGTCAAACACAGAGATAAAGAGACAAGGAAACGGAGCTGTGGAGCAAAAAGCAGAAAGATCAGTAATTATGCATGAATCAGATTCCATTTGTCGATTCATTAATCTGCCTTATGTATATGCCACTCTTTTAATATGAACTGTTGTTTTGTCACACTTCGCTGAAAGACCAGTTGGACACTTCTGTACCACACAATAGCAGGCGCTGGCTTTGGTAATATCTGCATGTATTCCCTTGTCTGGGAAATGGTAGGAACTGAGGAGAATGTGGAGAGGGGGAGGAGGAAGGGGAATTGAGATTGATGAAGAACAAAATGGAAAATAAGTGTCTGAGATGACGGCAGAGAAGACAGACCAGCAGGCAGGCCAGCTCAGACATTCTCAACCTACTGACATTGCTTGGTTAATGTACCTGTGTATCTCTGCATGTGTGTGCGTGCTTTTATGCAAATGTGAGTGATGAGGTAATTCTGTGTGGGTTGTCGTGCCCACACAGTGTGGGAACATCGCTCAGCTTTCACAGGTACAGATCCCCGGGGACGAGGACAGATAGACAGGCAGATGGAGAGACAGTCGATCATCAGGGCTCAGTGCAGGGGGTTCTCAAACCTGCTTATTCCCAAGGAGCAACATATCAGTCCTTGTTTACAAGTCTCTCCACTTTTACAGATTCTGACCCAGAAAACCCCAGTTGACAGGATTTACTGTCTGAGTTAGCTACGTTTGGAAATCACCTTTAGATTTCAGAGATATAACTACAGATAAACATGCAGGCTCTGACAGAGGGTTTTTAGCAAATGCACTGCTGAAGAGAAATTCTGAAAACAGTTTAGCACTTTGATGCGGTCTCTCTGGAAATGCTCTAAGATGGGCCGCTTAGTGAACAGACAGCCAGGTGGATGGCTAAAATTTGAACTGACAGGCTTTTAGGGTGTCACACAAAGGGTTCTGGGAGAATACTGAGACAGGTCTGAGGAGGAAGACAGGTGCAGCTCAGTTTTACTCATGCCATTCTGCATTCCCAATTCCCAGTTCAAATTAAAGTGAATGCTTAGTAGTAGGCACAAAAACAGACATTAACGTGGCAAGCAGACAGAGAGAGAGACAGACAGACAGACAGAAAGACATAGGTGGCCAGACAGATGCAAAATGGCCATCGCAAAATAGCTGCAGAGAGGGGAGCTATGCATGACATCAACTGAAAGTGAAAGGAGAAGCCAGACAGATGGTGAAGGAGGCGGATGGGAAGATGTTTGCTGGCAGATCATACAGACATACAGTCCTGAAGCCTTTTAAAATATGAAGTGCTCAGCATGTGAAGCCTGTTCGGAATTAGATATAATATTTCTGAATATGGACTGAAACAAATCTGTGGACAAATGTTGGGAAATAGCCAGAAAATCTGTCTAGGATCAGGTTGTATTACGATATATTAAGAAAGCTAGATGTCAAAAGTCTGATTCCTGGAGATAAGAAGTTAGTCACAAAAATCTTCACTCTGTCATGTTTCAGAATACTTTTAGCCCAGTGTAGTGCAAGGATAGATGCTGTTGACATTAGAACAGCAAATATGGTAAACGTATTAGGACTATAGCTATAGTTTATTTGAATATCAATTTGCCAGTTATTTTGTTGATTAATTGAATAAGCTCTTTGTCTACAAAACAATGAAAAATAGCAAAGGTGACATATTGAAATTATTGATTTTGTCCAACTAACAATAAAAACCCAGAGATATTCAATTTGCCATCATAAAAAACAAAAAAGCAACCATCCTGCACATCTGAGAAGCTACAAACATTGTTCGTTTGTTTATTTGTTTGCTAGAAAAATAGGTTTAAATGACTAACCAGTGATCAGTTCCCTTTTTCAGTCAGCTGATCAGTTAATCAACAAACCATTTCAATTCTGAAAGGCATTTCAGACAAGTTAGCAGAAAATATTGATATAGTTACCAATCATGAGAGGACCTTTATTAGATCCCTGGTGCATTCCTTTACTGACAGGTAGAGTTTAAACTGAGGCTTTGTAAAAGTCATTTAATTTCTTTCTTTCTTTTTTTTTAATTCTGCAGATGTGTGATGTTTTTAGCTCAGTAGAAAAGACAAACGTAGTTCTGCAGATGCAAATCAGACCTTATGGAGCCACTGGAGCAAAAATGATTTGTTAACTGTATTGAGGAGGAAAGTTAACACGAGGCAGTTGAAAAGTATGGTGTCTATGACTGTGACATTGCTATGTGCTGTTTCCAAAGTGTGTGGTGATATCCACGGCCAGTTCTTTGACCTGATGAAGCTGTTTGAAGTGGGAGGTTCTCCTGCCAACACACGCTACCTCTTCCTAGGGGACTATGTGGACAGGGGCTACTTCAGTATCGAGGTGAGGATGGACTTGCACCCAGACATGTGTGTTCACCCCACAGTTATTTGCTGTAAGCTCACTGTATTGTGTATACACTGAGTTTACAACTAAATCAATGTCCACTGTAATGCATATTGCCCTGATGTCTATTACACACTTTCCAAAGACTTATTTTGCTACAGAGGTATACAGTTACAACACTCTACTGTATTTAATGTATAATAAATGTACAAAAGGCACTTTAGATTAGCACTGACACACCACAATGGATGTCTGACAATGTGCATATGCCAAGGTGATGTAATTTAAAATTCATGGACAGGGAGCCTCATTATTAAGGTCAGCTTTCACTCACTATTCAGATTTAGTGGCCTGTGTGGACATAACAGATAGAAATGATTCAAGGTCAGTAATCACTAACAAGAGTGCAATATGCTGCTTACTAAAATATGTATGGAAGCTGAGTGGAGATAGTATCCAGAGGGCTGTTTGGACATTGCATTCAGCCAGGTATTTTTGCAAGTGCTTTGCCTGAAAGAAATGCACCACAGTTCAGCAGTGTGGCTTGAACCCATGATGAAGGTCTTGTTGAGCCACTGTGCTGTAAAAAGGATGTGTCACTGACATGGCGTCAGTTTGGAACGCAGACTATAATATTTAGGTCACCTTCCTAACACACTTCAAGGGCGCACAGACAGGGGAGTTAATGTAGAGCAGGGACGATCCTGTGCAAATGTGAGAGAACAGCCTCTGAGCTGTTTGTAGGGTTAACAACTTGATAACAGGGCAGACGTGCTGGATGATTTTATATCTGAAAAGATGTCAGACACACAACCATTTTCAATTGATATTTTCCTGTTAACCCGATCAGCACTGTCTGATTTGGGATGACTCTTATCAAAATGATGTCTGTCTTCAGATCGGAAGGATCAATTTGCTTTCAGCTCAGTTAATTTGAAGGAATTCCTAGTAACAGCTCCGCTGTGATTCTCTGTGTCACGCTTTGAATTTCCAGTTTGAATTTAATGAGGGAAACTGAAATGACTCCAACTCTGCCTCATACAGTTATTTACTAGCAATGATGTGCTAAAGCAAAAGCTGTTTTCACTGTGGTGTGGCGAATGGCCTGACATTTTGGCAAATACACTAATTTGCCTTCTTGTCGAGAGTTAGATCAAAAATGTATTACCACTCTCATGCCTGGTTAATGTGAAACTACAGTCAAAAAAGAGTTAGTTTAGCTTTAGCACAAAGACAAGGGAAACCAATAGGTTCATCAAAATAAGCACTAACACCTTTATGACACTATTTATTATATTATCTGGGTTTTTTTAGCCATACAGAAACTGAAAGCAACACCTTCTTCCAGAATAGTTCTTTATACAGTAACTGTGTAATTATTAACTGAATTTGTTACAAAACGTTATAAATGCAGACACTGCATATCATGTACCCATTTTTTATGCTTCTTCCATTGAGCTGCTTCCACTAACCACCATTTATTTCCTCTTCCTTGGTGAACCCCTAGTGTGATCCAAAGACTCTATTTTTACTTCGTGGAAATCATGAATGTAGACATTTGACAGAATATTTCACCTTCAAACAAGAATGTGAGTAACACTTATGTTTCTGCTTCCTCTCTGTATCTTTGTGTCAGTGTCTGTTGCACCACTTAAGTTATTATTAGGTTAGGTAGTTATTAGGCTACGACTGTTTATTTTATTATTATTTTATCTGTTGATTATGTTCTTGGTGAATCGATCACGAGAAATCCAACAGAGCCACTAATGTTACCCTACATCCTGATGCATCCGGGGCAGGTTTTCATACAGCGGAGAAGCACCACAATTAGCTAGGGTTACTAATGTAGGTAGTAAGCCGGTTAGCCAGACATGTTAAAACATAAACACATGGCTCAATCCATTTCCTGCACTCTTGCTCTTGTGCTTTTGGTTTTAGAGAGGCTCAAAAGGTGCAGCCCCCTCTCTTTAAATACCCAGTATCACTCTTATTACATGCACACAGCACAGCCCAACAGGCTTGCTGTGCCCAATCCAGCTGCCAAGGTTTAAACTGGAGAATTACCCGGTGGAGGGCTTTAGCAAATAGCTACAGATCCGTTTTCTTTCTTTCAACTAATCAATATGTTGACAGACCATTTTAGCTATAAACATATATTTTCTGTAGCATCTCGTTTCTTCTCCTCCCCTTCAGGGTTCCTCCCCCAGCCATCCATCCTTCCGTTCTTGTTACTGGCAGATTGCTTCCGCCCTCATTTCCCCCACTCCCATCCTATTTCTCTTCCTCTCCATGTACTCTCCATCCTTTCCTCCCTCCCCCAGCCTTTCTCTCTCTCTCTGACTCTCTCAGTGAGTTTCGGTGTCCTGTCCGAGAGTGGGTGATTAGTAGCAAATTAATTTGGCCCTTAATGATTGGCTCGGGGACTTACTCCTCAGTGTCTGATTGGCCAAGGGACAAGGAAGCTAATTTCCCCTGGTGCTCATGGCGAATAGTGGTCGCCCTCAATTACCATCTGCTATGTGTGTGAGTGTGTATGTACCACAAGTGTGTGAATGTGCAAGAGTGTCTTTATAAATGTTTGAGTGTGTGTTTGGAAGAAACTGACAACTGGTGGACTCGCCAGGCAGATGGAAAGGTTGACAAACACACTCCTTGCTGTCCCACACACACATACGCACACACAAATGTTGGCTACTGTACACTGGTACTCCACAGTACTGGCTTTGATCAGTGTACGTGTCGTTCTCACGTCCTCACACTCTCCCTTCTCCTTCTTATCCCTTATTCCTCCTCCCTCATCCTCTCCTCTCCTTCCTCTTTCCGTTTCTTAACCTCTGCTTCCTCCCATCAATGTCTCTCCTCCATGCTTTTTAAAATGATCATCTTCTTTTCCTCTCCTGCCCCCTTCCCTGCTCACTCTCATCCAAAATCCACCCGTCTCCCTCTTTCTTCTTTTTCCATCTCTCTGCTCTGATCTCCTTTCAGCTATTTTAATCCAGTGATATTGTTTTGTGTCAGCTGTATTGTTACGCCTGAGTGTGAAATGTACTTTAATGATGCTGCAGTGTTGGAAGTCTTTACTGATCACTGCCAAATCAAAAGGGTTTTTCATCAAGCTAAAATTTAGCCTTACAGTGATGCCTCTGCTTCATGCATTTGGGTCAGATTCTCTAAACTGGAAATAGAACAAGAGTTTGAATCTGCATATATACTATGTAATGCTGAAATAACATGCTGAGCTTTTCCCCCCGACCAAAATCATTACCTACGTACAGTATATTTCTTCTCTAGGAAGTGGCATTTCTAAAACATTAAAAGAGAAACAGGTCATATGAGAGTGCTGGAGACGTGACAGCTGCATAAATTAATAAAGTGAAAATGCTACATGTTAGTGCCTTTTCACCCAAGTGAACTAAATTATGTTTTTTCTGTAGATAAAGTATTTGAAGCCCTTAGCTGACCGAGGTTTTTAGATTTGTCCCTGTAAAGGCTTCATGGTTTGTTTGTTGTTGTTTTTTTTTGTTCTCTGCATTTCTCGTTTATATGCAACACTCCAAATGACAGGCCCCGACTGTACGTTTGTGGGGAAGGTGGATGTTCAAAGCATGCAAAAACACACTCAGGCACTTCTTTTCTCTCAAGTCTTGAAATATCTTTGCACCCCTCCAACCACCTCCAGGTAAGATCAAGTACTCGGAGCAGGTGTATGACTCCTGCATGGAGGCGTTTGATTGCCTGCCCTTGGCAGCCCTGATGAACCAGCAGTTCCTGTGTGTGCATGGCGGGCTTTCACCAGAGATCCACACGCTGGATGACATCAAGAAGGTACAAAAAACAAACAAAGTAAACTAAAGACATGCACACATTAGAATAAGAATACTGTACTAAAAAGGCAAAACAGTATACAAGCAAACACATAAACACAGCACATATTTATGTACATAATCTGTTTAACTAAAAACCAAATCACAGTAAATGTACTGTGAATTGGTAATTTAGAAGTGAAGCAAAACAGCAAACTAGATAGATAGAGCAAGAGAGCTATGTTAACATAAAGTTAGCTGGTGTTATAGCCTCAGATAAAACGAAATCTACATTTATTTACTGATGTTTTTCCTACCTTCAAATAAAAAAGACCTGACATCTTGGTAACTCAAGCGGAGCTCATGCTATATGGTGTGGTTAAGCTATGTTTCAGTCACGTTTTTAAACAGCGGTGGAAGAAGTGCTTACATAAATGATCAATTAAATGTAGTGGAGTAAAAGATTAACGAAAGTAAATATTATTTCAACAAACTAGTTAAACTGGGATAGAAAGCCAAAAGGACACATTTTATTTGTAGATATTGCATTTACCCCTTGCATTCCCATATGATTATCCAAGCCTTTGGAGGTGTTATGGAGGTACTGTGGGTAAAACCATCATCCTAAAAATGCATGAAACTAAGGTTGTACAACCCAGTTTTCCTCACTTCACTGTGTCTGTAGTAACTGCCCTCTTTCAGTGTAGGCAGGAATACATAACAGCATCAGTTCATCACCCTTCACTTGGAAAAATAATGACCTTAATGTAACCTGATTGACTTATATGTTGTAATCAAATACACCTGCGAGCACAGACATGAACACACACACCAGCTTTTCTTTATGTCTTTATACCAGCGTGAACTGTAAAGGCAGAGAATTCATAAGAAAGCAGCAGTGAAAGAGACCCACACAGGCGCCGCATGTGTAGGGTTCACAGAAGTACAGAACACAAAGGCACACACATGAACGGAGACACATGAGACCACACGCTTCCTCATCTAATGGCAGTGTTTCCATGGTGAATCTGCTGGTGTGACATCTTCTCCCTCCTGTGTGGTGAGGGTTGCCATGGAGATGCTCGGCTCTGACAGTATGTGTTTGGTTGCATCTTTGTATGTGTGCTATGTGTTTTCTTTTCTTTCTTTTCTGATGTATCCTATATGTGCTTTTGCATTTGTATGTGGCTCACATGAATCCAGATTTTGTATATTAGCTATATATTTTTTGTTTCCATATGCTTTTGTATGTGTGCTTGCCTTTATGTGAGCAATTATGTCTCTGTAAGCTTATATTGTGTGTGTGTGTGTGTGTCCTATGTCCTAGTTGGACCGGTTCAAGGAGCCCCCAGCGTTTGGGCCTATGTGTGACCTGTTGTGGGCAGACCCCCTGGAAGACTTTGGCAATGAGAAGACCCAGGAATACTTTGGGCACAACACAGTCAGAGGCTGCTCCTATTTCTACAGGTACAGCACCAAAGTACTCCTCACAAGGTCTATGATGACACCAACAAAAGCAATATTACATAACTTAGACTGCAGTGAATATAGTCTGGTGGCTTTGGTGAAATAGAGCCTTGTGAATATGAAGCTCAGAATTATAAACTGATGAATACACATGATGAGCATTATTATCTATAATTGCCACCTGAAACATGCAGCAAGAAATAAGAAGGGTCCTCTCCAATGTGTCCCTGTGTGTGCTGTGTTTATCGGCTTATTCAATGTGAGAGCTATGTAAACATGTAACGCCGTGCCTGGCCTTAGCGAAATGAGACTTTCATTTACAAATCCGGAATCTAATAAGTTTTAGGCATACTCCGGGCTGTTGGTTTGCTGGTAATGAGAAGAGAGGAAGAGAGATGCTTCCTGCATGGTTATACCACATCCAAGATCCAATAACAATCACTGGGATTTCTACAAGAGACAGAAAATCTTGGCCACTTCACACACACAGACACACACATTGAGTGTACAAGCAAACACATAAACACAGCACATTCACAAACACATACCCACAGTTTGTTTCAGCATGAAACGATATCCCACAATCCCCAGGGAGACTGCACGGTTCTGTTGCTATGACGACTGGCTACTCCTGCCAGATACAGAGTGATATTAAGATACAGTGAGAGAAAGAGGGAGAGCAACATAGGAGGAGGGTGGTGGTGTGATAGCAGATGAAAGATGGAAATAAAGAAAAAAGATGGAGGAATGTAAAGATGAGAAGCTCGAGGTGAAAGACATGGAGCGTCGGTGCAGTCGCAGTGTGTTCCTCACATGTATGGGTCAGTACTGTGACATGTCTGTGGAAGACACAGTGATTTTCTATGTTTAGCAGTCACAGCATCAGTTGACCAACTAATGTACACTGAGCCCCACAGCACTGAGGCCATATGCCCTGCTCAGGCCTGCCTGCGCTCAGTGATGCCCTCTGCTGGTGCCGGCCAGGCATGACATTACAAAACCAGAAGCCTACTCATCTCCCACTGCTAGACTTTAAATACTTTCTTCAGTTTTGTGGTTTTGACATAATAACACATGGCATGTTTGTTATGTAGAGTAAATTCCACTAGACCCTTGTGGATTGTTCTTCTCCTTTATGTTTTTTCCATTACTCCATTTCAGATGTGTTTACTTGCCCTCAGTTTTTCTCTCTGTCTCCCTCTTTATGTGCCCAGCTACCCGGCAGTATGCGAGTTCCTACAGACCAACAACCTACTGTCAATCATTAGAGCGCATGAAGCACAGGATGCTGGGTAAGCTGACTGACTGTCACAGCTCAGTCCTTCTCTCAGCTTAAAAGGGAGCACCATTTAATGTAATGGCTTACCTTGACATTTCATGTGCCGAGCTGGTATTTTTCTTTGTTAGATAATTGGCACATTACGGAGAAAGAGGTTCCACAATTTTCTTTCTGTCACCCTTAAACTGTGTTATTAGCATTGTTAGAGTCTATCTGACTGAGAGCACCAACAGCCTGAACAAAATTCGAGTTAACTAATTCATCTCTTGAAAACAGCAGAGTACAATCAAGGCAAGGAGCCATCTAAGGTTTTAAGGACTAGTCCAAATAAAATAGTGCAGGCAAAATGCAATTTTCTGACCCACAGATCCATTCCTGTTATCTGTTATCTCAGGCTGAACATCCTCAAAATATCATGTAGCAATTAAGACAATGCTGTTCTGAGTTGTGCTGCTCAGTGTACCCATTAACAGTATTTTGTCTGTCATGCAGCAGGGTAATCTGGGTAATCGTCTGTGGGTTCTGGTACGCTGGCCAAAGGCTGCTCAAAAGAAATTATTTTAGTAGGTTATGGCTCCATATGTTTACAAAATACCTAATGTACAGATGAAGTACTGTGTGTTCAGTTAAAACTATATAGTCTATCTTTCAGTGTAGATATATAAAACAAACGGATACATTTTGGGGGAAAAAGTTAGTTTTTATTTTTGAAGTTTCTCAGTTTGCATGTTGTCCAACAGCATATTTGTATTTATTTCTTGTTAATATGAAGTAATTAAATCTATTGATTGATCATAAAACACTGTAGTAGAGGAGCCAATCAGGAGCCTGTTTGAAACTGGGCTATTAGTTTGTCTACATTTGATTGGCCAGATTCAGTGTGTATGGTGGCCAGCTATGGACAAAGTTTCCAAATAGGCAAAGACCAAATCTAGAACCAAGCTTGTGCTGATGGCATTTATTGCATATTGGTATTTAGTTATACACAGGCAGGTTCCTATAGGGAAAATAACATTAGGTGGCCACACTCGGGAACATCACAACAAAGAATGGAAACCACCATAACAAGGAAAAAGCCAACACATTCTGCTGAACATATAGATTATAGTTGTTCATAATTAATGTGTGAAACTTATGATTACTCATGAGTTTGGTAATTAGTTAAACCTCAAGAGACTTGGCTGGTGGAAGCTGCTTTTGTTCATTGTTTGCGGTTACAAATGTATCATGTGTGCTTGTGTTTTATTATCATGTCTAGTAGTACAGGTGTGTCTAAATGCAGCCATACTTGTTTTTATTTTGACTTATTTGCTAGATCTGGGCCTAAAAATCTAAATGTCAACTGTCTGCCGGTGGGTTCTCAGTGTCCTCCTCAGTGGTGCTTTTATTTTTTCCCTGTCATTTTGCCCAGTCTGATTTCCCAACCACGCCAGGGATTATGTTCCTTCTTTGTTTTTAAATGCATGGCCATCTCAACCAGTTCCTGTCAGGTTTAGAGACAAACCCTTCAATATTCATCCACAACAGTGTTTTATTTAAGCAGTTCTAACGTGGGCGGTTTGTTTGTCTCTCTTTTCTCAGGTACCGTATGTACAGGAAGAGTCAGACTACAGGTTTTCCCTCCCTCATCACCATCTTCTCTGCGCCAAACTACCTGGATGTCTATAACAACAAAGGTCTGACACATATATGTCCAAGTACACATACTGTATGTGTATATATATATATATACATGCAGACACAGATATTAAATACACCCGGAAAAAAAGTGTGAACATTGCAGTACAATTATTTTAGCCTAAGCGATATGTTGTTTTTTTTACTCCAGACTGAACAGGAACACTTAAAACAGGAACTTGATCTATATATAAATGAATATACTGGAAATATATGAGGAATATTTTAAAACAAAATAATGTTTTTCTTCTTGGTATAACTTTATGGACTAATGCTGTTTCTTTTCTGATGAAAGCTAAAACGACTAACCTCTGTACGTACAGATGAAGTCATTAAAACAGATTTTTTTTTTACCACTTCACAGACATCATGTTAACTCTCATTTTGTCAAGTCGGCCAGAACATGTACTTTACACATGACATGAGCTGTTTGCAGATTATTTCACTATATCATAATTTCAGTGGGTCAGACATTTACATTCACTCAGTCGACTGCGGCTTTAAACAGCTTGGAAAATTCTAGAAAATGATGTCATGGCTTCTGATTGGCTTGTATGTCAACTTCTGACCCATTGGGAATGTGATGGAAGGAATAAAAGCTGAAATAATGCTTTTTCTCCACTATTATTCTGGCATTTCACATTTTTAAAATAAAGTAGTGATCCTGACTGACCTAAGACAGGGGATGTTTATAGGAATAAATATCAGGAGTTGTGAAAAGTGAGTTTAAATGTATTTGCCTGAGGTGGATGTAAAGCTGTATGTGTCTGTGTGTGTTCAGCGGCGGTGCTGAAGTATGAGAACAACGTGATGAATATCCGTCAGTTCAACTGCTCTCCTCATCCCTACTGGCTGCCCAACTTCATGGACGTCTTCACCTGGTCACTGCCTTTCGTAGGAGAAAAGGGTATCTCACACACATACTTCCACAAACAGTGCATTATAATGATAGGGTCAGGTTTGGTTGTGATACACCTTGTGGTTTGGAGATATGGATGTATTACTGAGCGGGCCTACCAGACGCAGGCCCAGCAGCCCAAGGTGTGAGGGCCCCTGGGGAGCCTTTGTCTGAAGTGACTGTTAATATGTCTTATTAGAAAGTCAATGAAATGACCATAAAGAGATGCAAAAAGAGTAAAACTGGAAGTTCAACAACTACAGATTGATGCAAAACCAACACAAACAAGTACAACTAAACAAATTGTGACTGCAAAGAGACATAAAATTACTTTTGTCATTTCATTCTGTGGCTCTTGGTCTTGTATAGGAAGAGGGGGGCCTTTTACGTGTTTATGTCCGGGGCCCATTGTCTCATGAGCCGTCCATGTTTACAGCATTTGGGGTCAGACTGGTGTGGTGTGAAAGCAGGGTCATGAACAATATCTGGCTCTTGATAAGTTACTTCACAGTGTCATTCAGAAGCATAAATTGTGATATATTGATACCTTTATGTCAAGTGTAATTCCTGGACCATCTGTCAGGATGTAACTGATTACATACCGACAGGTGACAAATGAAAGGAAACCCCTGAATAAGTGAGTGGCCTGTTCCAGGATGACAGTGCCCCCATCCATTGGGCGCAAGGGGTCACCAAGTGGTTTGCTGAGTATGAACATGATGTGAATCATATGCTGTGGCCTTCACAGTTCCTTTAGTGTCCTTTAATATGTCACCAGCCTGTACATCTTCTGCAGCTGTTTACAGTGGACTCTTCTGACAAGATGTGAATGGCCTTTGATTAGAAGAAGTAAATAGCATGTGGTTTCTCTTATTTCCATTTTTGTCCTGCCATGTGCTTTGAACCCCTTGTTAACAGACATGACTCTATCTGACTTTGACTTTGCCTGCGAAATAATGAAAACACCGACAAGATCTCTGTCTGTGTTCCTGGTGGATCAGCTGCTTCATGCTTTAGCACGCACCACACGACTTCAACAAGCATCCGTGCATCATTACACTGAGGGATATTCGCAGATCGCCCTGCTGAGCAGAGTACTACACACATGTACAATATATACACAAATGTTGTCCAAAGTAGGATGAATAACTAGTTAGCAAGTTCTCCTCAGCTGTCAGAGTGACTGATACATCCAGATTTATTTGGAACTCCACTGTGTTTTAAGCTTTACACAGTCACCACTTTTACTTCTTGTTGAGGAAGAAAGATTTTCAATAATTTATTTGCATCAGGTAATTCAATGTATTCTTTTATACAGGCAGCTAAACTATGCACAATAATCAGCAAATACAGCTGAAAAAATAATAAAAAAACATCTGTAAACATTTAATCTAAAATTTTAATGAAAATCTTTTTATATACTTTGTATTTATTTACAATCTTTTATAATATTCTCTAAAAATAGCAATGATATCAGCTGAAAGTGGTGGGCAACCCCTACATACAGGATTAGGGACTAACCAATGTTTAGTCAGATTTGTTCCCTGTTGCATCCTTTTTGGGGATGTAGCTCATGGTTCATATGCTGACCACTAGGTGATAAGGGCACCTGTAAGTCCTTGGCTCATTGTGTGTGTGTGTTTGTCCTGCAGTGACTGAGATGCTGGTCAATGTCTTGAGTATCTGCTCTGATGACGAACTCATGAACGACGGAGATGAGATCTACGATGGTAAAAAGCACTGAACACTCAGACCTGCTAATGTGTAAATGAATATGTATAACGATACAGATGTGGTGATGTTATGCTTTGGCTGATGGCTGTGTTGGTGTCTGCCTCTCTTACAGCCAGCGCAGCAGCAGCAAGGAAAGAGGTGATCAAAAACAAGATCCGAGCCATTGGCAAGATGGCCAAAATGTTCTCTGTTCTACGGTGGGTTGAGCTCCCTTTGTGCACACGTGTGCACGTGTATGTGCCTATACATCAATCAGGCATAACATTATGACCACCTGCCTCATACTCTTTACATAGGACTCAATGTGGCAGTTGGTTGGCACTCATCACTCTGCAGCTCACTGTGCATCTTCTGTGAATCAATTTGTCTGTGAATCCATTTGCTTCCACAGTTATACTGTCAGGACAAGCACAGATGTGTCTACAATTCAGTGAAAAACCTATGTAAAAGGAATGAAAACTGTAGTCGTGAGGACGAGTTAGAGAGAATTTTTTAGACAAATTCAATGGCCTCACCACTCTAGGTGTGATATCACCACAACAGCCCCTGATTCTTTCTCTTCATATAGACCAATATACAGTATTTCTCATTTTCAACCATTTTAACAAAGATTCAAATAAATTTTAATCTTTTGAAAAGTACAAATGGAAGTTAAAGGTTTAATTTACAGTAGGGCAACATCCTCATCAGTGAGCCGTGGGCGTCCATGACCCTGTCACCAGTTCACCATTTGTCCTTCCTTAGACCACTGTTGGTAGGTACTAACCACTGCAGACCAAGAACACCCACCAAGACCTGCAGAGTGGGAGATGATCTGACCCAGTCATTCCACCACCAGTTTGACCCTTGTCAAAGTCACTCAGATCCTTACATTTGCCTGTTTTTCCTGCTTCCAACACATCAATTTTGAGAACTGAATGTTCACTTGCTGCCTAATATATCCCACACACTGACAGGTGCCACCGCAATGAGATCACAGGTGTTATTCACTTCACCTGCCAGTGGTCATAATGTTATGCCTGATTGGTGTAAATTCAGCCGTGATCAGACTTTACTTTTTTGAGTGTTTTAAACCACAAGAATATTTTTGCATTTGCAGGTGTGCAGTGAGGGGAAGTGTGATTCTCTGTAATGCTTTCTTTATCACCCGCTCCCTCTCTTTTTATCCACACACACACACACACACACACACACACACACACACACACACACACACACACACACACACACACTGTCTGTCTCTCAGGGAGGAGAGTGAGAACGTGTTGACTCTGAAGGGACTGACCCCTACAGGAATGCTGCCTAGCGGAGTGCTGTCTGGGGGCAAGCAGACCCTGCAGAGCGGTGAGTGTTTTTCACCCACATGCACACATACAAACACACCCCCAACTTAACCTGGAACACACCTTCAGAAACAGTTTTTAAAGACACACGAGAACACTCAGACAGTTTAAATATCTCCTTTGGACCATCCTCCGCTTTCCTTCCTGCCCGCTTTCCTCTTCTCCTCCTCTCCTGCTGTTTCTCTCCTCTCATCCTTTTGCCTCACTGACCCACTCACTCTCGTTGGCGCCGAGGATACTAACAGCCTGCTGGCTGTGTACGTGGCACTCTGTATGATATTGAGAGTTAGATAATGACAGAAAGTGGGCAAGACCAAGAGATAGACACTTCCACGCAGACACCCAAGATGTTTGTGTGTGTGTGAGCTAATGCTAACACCAGGTGCCCTCTGAACCTGGCATGGTGTCGGTGCTGCACTGAGGACCTCAAAGCTTGAAACATGCTTTTAGGTCTGCAATTTTGCAGCTTTCATGCGTTCATCTCTCTACCAGTGTGCCGACACAAATTGCACATAATGTTAATGTGTATAACGCAATAAGGCTGCATTTATCAACCTAAACTGTGTTTTAAAAGGTCCATACTGTGGGCAGTTTTGCCCTTAATTCCTAGTGTTTAGTCGCTAGGCACACATGGGCGAAGGTGGGGTGACGTACATCCTAGGCCATAAATACCTCATATAAATATTGATATTGATACACCTCACCGAAAGTTGCTCTTCAGTCTGGTTTCTTGTTTGGTAATGGACCGACCTACATGCTGGCTAAGCCTTTTCAGACCTGGTAGATGACAACTTGCAGAGAGTTTGGAAATCCTCTGTAAGCCACTTCTTTACGTCCTTAAGTCCACATGTTTACATGTATTTGCACAAAAGCATGTTTCAGCCTGCACTTCCTCCTCCTCCTTCCTTTGTACTTCATCTTCTTTCTGGGACTTTGTTGTCTTCTCTCTCTTCCTGTCCTCCTTTTTTCTCTTCTTCTTTTCTCTTTGCCCATCCTTCAGCTACCATTGAGGCCATAGAAGCCATCGAGACAGTTAAGGACGCTGAAGGTAAAATCTCACTCATTTCACTGTGTGTGTGGTGTGGTGTGTGTGTGTGCGTGCGCAGCATGGTTGTGCTCTCAGCCACCCATGCTCATAAGGTCACAAATTTTTCTTACCCACAGTGCACTGAGCTCTTCCAACTACATCTGCACTCACAACAAGGCCCAAAACCTTTGCCTGCTGAAATCACACACAAAACATTAAAACACACAAAACACTTTTTCCTTTCTCTCTTGGGAAACTAAAACTCTCACTGCACCTTCTCTCATAACACACACAAACATTTCAAATCCAGCTCACACCACACATCACACACAACTGTTTTTAATACACACAGGAAGAGCAGGGCAGGTGGTTGGGAGTGGGTGTAGTGAAGGTGGGCAGGGTCACTCAGACCTGTTACAGTCTGCAGTGTGACACAGTCGTTTTCTTTATAATTCTGTGCTGCGGCTCTGCAGGAGATGAATATACAATCAATTTGCTTCTCTACCAGCTATGGCAGAACAGCAGTCGCCTGTGATGATGAACAGAAATAAATGCAAAGTGCTGAGGGAACTTCTATTTGTATTCATTTTACAAAACAATGCTTAAACATGTATCTGGGATAAAATATTCTAAATTCACACACCAGTTAAATTTCAACCATATAGAATAGAAATCTCTGTGAAACACTGATGAAGTTAGCCTTGATTTTGCCACAGATATGTTCCCACACATTTCATATGTGGAGGGACAGTTTGAATCTGTCTGAATGAGTGGACGTATCCAGGGCAGGTCTGCCAGGTTCTACTCTGCTACTGAACAGACTGTGCTCGTGGTGTTTGTGTTTAGTGTGTTATATTGTGTGTACACGCTCAGTGATTACTCTGCACGCTAACTGTAGTCTTTTGTGTTTGTAGCTTTAGTCCTGTCATTGGCTTACCTGACCTACAGACCATAATTTGTTTAAGCAAATAAATTATGGGTATCTTTTGTGTTATGTTTTTCTATGTGATAATAACTGGATACAATATGATGTGCAATAACATGTCTGTTGTACTATGACAGTAGCTGTTGTTCAAAGCTGGTTCCGGCCCTTCCAGACCTCCCTATCAGTAAAGGGGTGTCTGTTGACACAAAGACGGCAGTGCAGCTAATTTCAAAGCTTCACGCTGTATGATTATTCCTTAATTACTGAAATTGGTTTTGATGATAAAGCCATTACAGGTGGTAGCTCTCTGTCATGTGTTTTGTTTGATTCATTTTTAATCTCACTTAAAGGGGTACTCCACCGATTCAGTATTACTCTTCAATAAGTTGGCAGAATGTATGCTGTACAACTTAGCAGAAAAACCACTTGTACACACGTCCGTGGGATAATATCTACCAAAAACTACAGAAGTGACCTCTGGGAAAAATTCATTTGATTTCGTTTGGCTCATGGAGGAGGTGGGTTTTATTACCTTTAATGCAACCAGCCCCTAGGGCGCGATTGTGTCGCTGTGGCTTCACTTCATAGTGTCCATATTTTATACACTACTTTGATTTAGTGGTGCTTCAAGCTAACTGCTAATGTCAACATGCTAACTTGAGATGATAACAACAATAGCCTGCTGATGTGAATTAGGTTTAATGTTCTCCATGTTCAGCATCATTTATCGTGTTAGTATGCTAACAAAATTGCTGTAAAGTCACAACTGCAGGCAGTTACATAGACCCAACATTAACATTCATGCCATGGATTCAGCTCATTTAAAAGGAGCTATATTGCGCTGTTGCCTCATAGCAATAAGGTTCTGGGTTCGAGCCCAGGCCAACTCGGTGCTGTTCTGTGCGGAGTTTGCAAGTTCTCCCTGTGCCTGCGTGGGTTCTCTTCATGTTTACTGGCTTCCTCCCACAGTCTAAAGACATGCAGCTTAGGTTGACTGGCAACTCTAAATTGCATGTAGGAGTGAGTGTGGGTGTGTTTGGATGTCTAGTCTCCCTGTGCCTGCGTGGGTTCTCTTCATGTTTACTGGCTTCCTCCCACAGTCTAAAGACATGCAGCTTAGGTTGACTGGCAACTCTAAATTGCATGTAGGAGTGAGTGTGGGTGTGTTTGGATGTCTAGGTGTCAGCCCAGTGACAGACTGGCGACCTGTCCAGGGTGTACTGCGCCTCTCCGCGGTGTACCGCACCAATGCCAGCTGGGATTGGCTCCAGGCCCCCCACAACCCTATTCAGGAATCAGCGGTATAGATAATGGATGGATGGTTTCACTAGTTAATATACTGCAAAATACCTAAAATAGGCTCTTTCGATTGAAGGGGTGGAAGTGGGGATGTTGGAATAATGTTTGAATAAGAGGATGCATTCATGTTCTACCCATTCTATCAACATTGTATGAATGCAGCCTGGGACTCTCCCTACTTATGTCCGTATCTTTCAAACTCCTTGCCTTGTTAACAGTTCCTACTATTAAATAAATTGTTTAGGCTGTGAGGACTACACCTACAACAAGTTGTAGGTTTTGGGGGAAGAGTCTTGTCATGGACTCTATACCAACCACAGTCAGTGTGTAACATGTCAACAAGTGAGCCTCAACGACGTGCTTAGGTAGATGTTTTCATTTTAGACTGCTTAAGGCTGTGACCCTCCTTTTCCAGTAGTTATTCTGGCCTTTCCTTCATATACAGACATTAGAGTGGTATCACTGTCATCATACTCTGCAAATAAGCGTATTTCTCATTATCTAAAACTGTTGCTTTAAACATTTCTTGCTTCCGAGACTAAGCAGAGATAACCATGGTGATTGGTAAACCGACCTACATGTGAAAAATTGGTTGAGTACCCCTTGAAAAAATAACCTCTAACGCACCAGCACATTGTGCAGTGAACACACTGGGGAAGACAAATAGTGGCAAAGCTGTGTGAACTTCATTAGCACACAAAAATATCTGACATATTTGATAAAATCTATCAAAAACTAAACCTTGTTTGAGACAGGAATTTCAAGGGAAGAAAATAAAAAACCTGACACCTGGGGCCTATTTCAAGAAGGTGGTTTAACAAACTCAGAGTTCAAACCTGAACTCTGAGTTGACTTACCCAGAGTTGGAAAACTCGGAGTTTTCGGTTTCAGAACAGCTGAAAAGAGTTGGTTTAATCAACTCTGAGTTGTTTGACTCAGAGTTAATACTTTCCGAACTATTCTTACTAATGTGCTCTGCATCCCCGATGTTATAAAGAAAACTGCTGTTTGCAACAAATCGTAACGCAACACAAAGCATCTGCTCGGATGTAAGAGCACGGCCACGATGGGGGATGTGTCTGATGTTTGGGTGGATAAGATTATTGATATATGTTATGGACTCTCTAGACAAACGGTACCGCTCAAATAAAAATACATGGGGATATGACAAAAAAATCAACTCGTGGCCTCAATATCCTCTCCCGACGTAAATGCAATTCCCTGCGAATTAATACAGCGTCCTCATCTACAGGATCCTCTATGAATGGACACGCCATTTTGGTCTCTGTGTGACGGAAACGTGTGCAATCTATGAATGTACTGAAAGATTAAATGAGGTATTAAACACCTTTCACTTTAAAAAGGGGCGGAGACCCGGAGGAAACTCTGAGTTTCCCGAACAAAACCTGCTCCCAAGCATGTTAGGTTCACAGAGTAAGTTGCCATAGTAACTGACTCTGAGTTTAGATTACCTCTATTTGTGAAACGGGTTTAACTTACCCCGCTTCACGGGTTTAAGTTACCTCCGTTTCTGAAACCGAAAACTCCGAGTTTCCCTCATTTCGGGGTTAACAAACTCTGAGTTTCGACAAAACCGCCTTCTTGAAATAGGCCCCTGGCTTTTGTTGCTACCATTGTTTTGTTTGTGGATTACAAATTACCTGGGAAACTTCCCATAAAAATGACTCCAAACAATGGCTGACTGTCTACAACCCTACCCTGAGCCAAAACCACGCCTGTGCAGCTGTGCTTTGCACCATACGATGTCTCATTCTGGCTTACCTACCAGGCATCTCAGACTACTGATCTAGGATCGCTGGCCAGGTTGCACAATAACATTCACTGTGAGCCACAAGGTCAAACTAATCCTAGCTCAGCATTCAGACAACAGACAAACACAAAGCTGTGTGTGGTGTAAGAGCTGTGTAAATGTGACAGAACTTTGTCTATCCAAGCCCAAAATAGCTTTCAGCTAAAGGGAGCAGAATCAGGATTCAAGTAACTGAATTATCCTTCCTGGCGTGCTCAAATGGAAACATTTAACAGGTGAATTAGACCAAAATGGGCACTTTGGAAATGTGTGCACATCCACATTTCGTAAATTAATTAAATGTGGTTTGGCGTTTCAGAATATTTCAGTGCTCTGACTGGTTCCTTCAAAGCTCCCAGAGGTTTGGATACACAAGATTTTTGTAAATGTCTTGTTAAATATTAACTCTCCCTGCGTGTTTGTATGTTTGTGTGTCTATGTGTGTGCATACTTGTATGTCTCCACAGCCATCCGGGGCTTTTCCCCTCAGCATCGGATCAGCAGTTTTGAGGAGGCCAAAGGTCTGGACCGGATCAATGAGAGAATGCCTCCACGACGTGACGCAGTCAACAGTGTGGGGCTGTCAATGGGCCGTATGAACATGGGGGAGCCCAATGGGACCGACAGCAACAGCAATATACAGTGACGGACGCACACTCCCACATGCCCAGACACATGCCTGCAGTTACAACACTGATATGGTACCATATTTATAGATACATGTACATAGGCATATATACACAGGAAAAATGCGTCACACTCATACACTCATACACACAAACACATCCTTTCATACACCGAATAGGCTACAGACAACATCTCACAACACATACACACTATCACGTACCCTTTTCCTGCTGCCCTCAGCTGTATGTAAAGGCATGAGCATACCCGGACGTTACCACCAAAGTCTGAGTCTCTTCGCTGAACTGATTGGCCCTATTTAGAGAACTACAACTCCCATGTACCTGCACAACAACAGGAAAGACACTACAAAAACACTCCCTGTCCAAAACAGGAGGAGCTGCTGTTCACCGTGTGTTGAGGATCACCAGTGGGTCAACAGTGTCAGCATGACGTGGCTGTGTCAGTGCTGTGTGCTGTGTCAGTTGGGGCCGGCGGGGTCAAGTGTTTGCACAGTGAGGTTGTGGCAGTCAGGGGCATTTAAAATATGTCTGCTTCTTTTTCCCGTTTGAATCCCAAAACAGGAAGTGGAACCAAACGTGTGATTGACTGATTCATTTCATAGAGTTGTTGGTATGCCTACCTGTGTGCGTGCACATGCCTGAACGCGTAAATGTCCGTGCATTTGAAAATGTGTTTTTGTTTACAAATGTGAGCGGCTCTTGCCACTAGCCAGGCAACAGCAAGAAAAACATGGATGTGTGATGGCTTATGTGTTGACAGAGATATATGGAGATAATCTCAGCTGCAGTCTAACCTGAGCCCTTGCTGTTCTTTTCCTCTTGGGAGGAGATTCCCATTTGCTTTGTAGCACTACACTGCACCCAACCTCCAGCTGAAATCAAGTGGAGGATCCCACCCCCGCAAAACTGGTCCCTGGCCTGGTTAGCTCTTGGGGAAAGGCGTGAAACTGGGCCTGGATCAGATTTGAAGCAGGTGTATCTCCCTACCTGTCATGTGTAAATAGGATACCTAGAGAGGTTTTATTGCACATATGATACATGTGGTCACAGGATGCAAGATGCAGTATAGTGGAGGTAGGATGCCCGATGTATGTGAGGCAGCCGGGGGGAGTTGAAATGTGAAGTCATACTCTATTCATCCTCTTTCTACATCCTCTTTTCTTCCCGTGTTGCTGTCTGCTATCAAACAGCAGGGATGGCCAGGAATCCCCGGCCTAAAAAGCAGGAAATGATATTTCAACAGAGGAAACAGACTCTTCTGGAGCAGCCAGGACAACTAGAGGAAGTCAGAAGAAAAAAGATCTTTGTAAAGCATTTATATTAACGCATCAGTGCATGCAGAGTTAAGTTCTTTGATAATAATGTGAAGATTATATTTGTGCTCTGTGTTTCATTCTGATAGAAAAAAAAATTTCTTCGTTTTTCTGACTAATATAAATGAACTGAGGAATAATGAATAATTGATTTTGTACATAATGTTAATTTATTTTTTGTATTCATTTTGTGTTATATTTTATTTATTTATTTTTTTCATCTTTGTTCTTTTTCACAACCTTTTTCTTTCAGCGCTGTACAGAATGACAGTACGCTTCTACTCAAAGTGTCAAGTCCACGTTCTCTAATCTCTTCTTTGTCGATGTACAGGAGTTGTTTTTATTGATAAATATGAATAACGATAAACAAATATTAAACTAGCATTGATGAATGAATCATACTATATTCCGCGGCGCAGGCATTCAGGCAGCCAAAAGCATGATTTGCATGGTTGAAATTTGCGCTGTTCAAAGCAAAAATCAGCAAGACATTTTAACAGATGAGCCGGTGTGTTGCCATCACAATTTAAAGGACAAAAGTGTAACTCTATCTGATCATAATTCTTGATTCCTCTTGTTATTTGATGATATTTATGATTCTATGATTATTATGATTCTATTTATTATGGACATTATTCTTAATATTTAAGCTCTCTCTCTCTCTCTGCTGGTTGCTCTTCATGTTGCGTTGCTCCTTGGTTAATCTTGTTGTGGTTCTTTGGAAGAGGTGAACCCCCCTGGGAGACCCTGTGCCATAGAAAGTGTGCCACGGTTCTTTCTTTCTCTCTTAACCTCTCTCTCTCTCTCTCTACCCCCCTGCTGTCTTTCTGTTTTGACTCCCCAGTCACTAACACTGTAAGCATGCCCCATGGGACGATCCACTTTTTTACTCTTGAATAAAATATGCATGAACCTTTGATATGGATACTGCGCCTTTATTTTCCTACCACTGAGCATGGACACACATATACTCCTACATAGTCTACAGTAGAAAGACCCACCCACATACTGTATATTGTATCAAAAAATCCAGTTGAACTGGATGGACCTGTTATAGAGTTTCCAATTCACAGAACGTAATAATACTGATCCTATAGTCACAGTGTATGAATATGAGAATGTTTTGTTCAAACTGAAAAAGAAAATCATAGACAATGAAGACATGCAGCATGTAAACAGCACATATAAACTCATCCTTCCAACACATTCAGCCAGTAGTTTCCAACCTTTTTGGCTTGTGACCCCTTAAAATGTCTACTCATCACAGTGTGCATGTCTGGATGGTGCAAATGGAGAGTGATGCTGGCACCCAGTTACTTTCATTACAGTCCGCTATCCAGCATTTCACAAGAAAAAGAAAAAATAAAGTCAGAAATATCTGTATAGTTTAGTTTTTTTTTAAGGGAATCATTTTGTGACCCTCCCTATTTACTTTACCCACTGGTTGTAGGTCAGCCACAGTCTTGTTTTACTTCAAACACTGAGATAGTTACAGATAATAATTGTTTCACATGATAGACTATAAACATGACACCTAAAAGAGTCCAAAGTATTACTTCATTCAGAGGCTCTGTATAATTGTGAAAGAGTGAATTCTGATTCATGCATTTAGTTTCGCTGTTATGTACTTCCATGTTGAAAATGAAAATATTTGACCAAATTAAAGTGAGTCACTTGGATCAGATAGTATATTGTGCAACCTTTATCAAGACAAAACAGGCAAAACCTCAGCAAAAGAGAAACACTTAGACACAGAACATGAAGAACTGAATAGTTGGATGAATAGTTGCCTTAACATCTGTGTTTATGAAGCTCAGAATGTTTCAGTATTTGGTGAAATTGTCATAAATGTATAAGTAAAATGTTTGAGGTCATAGTTAAAAGGTGGTGCTGTACCGGACTACATTAAATTCAGAGGTGTCTCTATATTTCTGTCCTCCACAGCTACTGTACATACATTAGAGGGTCAAAATATTAGCAAATATACTCCATCAATCAACCTTGAATAAGAGAATGATGTAACTCATATCATGTGTCGTGGCCTTCTCATTCACCAGAGCCCAAGCTAGAATAAAGCAAGTGGGTAAAGCTACACTACACAGGAGCCTCAGGACATCAGGGGCCCCCAAAGCCCCCAATTTACTGCAAATCATTAGGGTCTACATAGCTTGTGTTTCAAAAATGTGAAGCATATTATCACCTATGTAAGGTCCTCCAGTCTTGTAAAGGGGCTCTCCATCAAAATCCAGTTTTAAGACCTGAATTGCTTTAGTTTATATTGTGGTTTATTGTGTTATAAAGTAGAGTTCTATCAAACTGCTTTCAATTTGGTAATTAACACAAACAATGAAGATGTAGATCATGCCCTAACCATGTCCTTTTCATGTCAACTTCCAGTAAATTTTTATGCATTCTCAGCATCAGCCACTTTCTTTTTTTGCAATACCACCCTCCCTTTTTTCTACCTCTCTTCCCCTTTATTCTTCCTTCTTTCTATCGCCTACTTCTGTCTTCACGCCTCCACATAGGGAATCTGCCACACGCAAAAGCAGCGCTGATCCCTCCAAAGCTTCTCCAAACCGCTGATCATCAGCTGAGTCACCATCCACATGGTCTTTCATCCGTACAACATAGCTCCATCTGTCCTCACAATCCCTGCTCACTATTTGCATCAAGGCGTGGTCCTAGCTAGTGAAACCCCAGGCAAGGTAGTATTATTCCCTCACTGTACTTCCCTACTATAAGACTGCAACCAGTAATTAATTTCATTAAGGCTATATTTGATCATTCTTTTCTTTAATAATCAATTGATTGTTCAATGTTAGAAAGTGTCCTCATTATTTTCTGATATTGAGTTAAAAACTGAATGATCAGAAAACTGGGAAACAAGCTAATTTTTGCTTTGAGAAGCTCAAACAAGTGAATTTTTTCTTTTTTGCTAAAAAAAAAAAAGTTGGTCAATTATCAAAGTTGTTGCCAGTTAATTTTCTGTTAATGGACTCATCAGCCTTTTTAGTTCTGCTCTAGAGTTGGTTTCTGGATGCCCGGGGAAAACAACTGAAGCTCCCATGCACGGTGTGGGACAACAGGGGCCCAACTACAAATCTTTGCCCCACAGCCCCTTGAGTCGTTGATCCGGCTGTGAAAAGAGTTCGACCCAGTTGAACACCTATGGAAGATTTGGTGAGCTTTGCCCCACCATCATCAAAACAAACAGGGGAGTATATTTTGGAAGACTGAGGGTTCACCCTTCCAACAGAGTTCCTGGGACTTGTAGAGCCCAGAGTAGCTGTTCTCAAGGCTCAACACTTGTTGAGTAGTACAGTAGTGTTTCAACAACAGAGGGCACACAGAATGGCCACATCTATTCCACTGTGAAATACTTTCAACATCAGTTTAAGTGATATGTGAAAGTACAAAGTTAAAAAGTATTTATAGTGTTAGAGTGAGGACCCTCTTTCATAAATCTTTGCTGTCTTATTTTGTCTGTCCCGCGGTTTCTCTCTGGTTCCCGCCCTCTTCTCACCACAGTGTTCATGACAGTGGAATACAGGCAGAGAGAAATCAAAAGTGAAAGTGCTGCGCTCTGAATAAAGGCTGGGCGAAGGAAGGACAGGAGGCAGAAAGAAAACAGAAGACAAAGGAAACTCTTCTAATCTGGACCACAGCAAATACACCAAGGTGAGTCTCTGTGTATGTTTCTTTCTCTTGGCTCATTTTAAAATACATTGTGCACAGTGGAACTAGACATCATCACTAACAGTGATCGCAGAGGGTCTCTGACCTGAGGAGGAGGAGGAGGAGGATGAGGAAGACATCACAGTGTGCTTTTCTTTAACAGCAATAACTGACACAAGCTACAAGCTGATTAACTATTAGCATGTTGAGACCAAATTCAAAATATCAGTTTGTGTTTGTGGGTTAAAAAAGTAACTTTCTTGTAACCATATTGTTTCATATTAAAGTGTATTAGCTATTGTATCTATAGTTCAATCCAAGAAGAGTATTTGCTACATAATGGGACATTCACATCATTGTGTCATGTTTTATAACTTTAGTTAGGGCCCAGGTGCAGACACAGAAATTATGTGGTTTTTGTGAAGAGGAAGCTGGGCTGTAATGGGAGTACAGAGAAACACAACTAGGTAGGTGTGTGCGGACACAGGTGCAATGGCTGACACTGGTGAACATGAACTCAGGTAGTTACTCTTGCACATGCTAAGGCAGGAGTACATTACAGTTTTTCTCTATTGCTTTCATTCATTTCTCATAACAGAATTGAAGTTTGCAGATCTCCAAGTGCATTTCTCAAAACAACACATACAAACTGCACAACATAGTGGATAACCGGAAAAAGTGCATCACATACTCAAAATGCTTTGTCTATTGTGCAAAAGTGTGTTTTTTCATCAATCATTGTGTCAGAGGCAGCAGAATCTCATGTCATTTCCTCAACAATGTGAATGTGACAGGCAAAATTATTAGTCATGTTGTCAGTAGAACATCATACTCAGTTTTTGTTATTTACTGTAAACTGTACTCAACTCAGGTTTTGATGATTAGAAACCACTAAATTACCGTATAGAACCCACTAAATTGCCGTACTGGTGTGTGTCATAATTTACAGTGTCCCTCCAGTAAAAAAAAAGAAGTGATTTTTGCAAACCATTGTGCATCAACCAGGTGTTACAGTAATTTACATGGTAATAATAGATAATTATCTGAATTACGATGATGATGTCCTTTGGGGTTATAACAACAACAACAGGCAACTTGGCACTGTCTTCCACAATGTTACTTGGCTGGTTTCCCTTGGTACCACTGGTCTTCACCCTTGGCCTTTTGCTACACGGACTCTGCCTGGTGGCGAAGGAGATGCTGAACCATTCCAAGACAAGGTGAGAGCTCAGCTGGAGTAAGAGGACATTGTGGTTCAAACATTCAGTGCTTGTAGCTTTTACTGATGGTCTGATACTCAGGCTTTATGTTCTTGCTCTTCTTGGTCATCAAACCTTTATTTACCATGTGGCCACTCTGGACTGAATACCCTGATACTGAAATACCCTTTTTCCCCATTCAATCTCCATACACAGCGTAATTCCCGCCTTTACCTTTTATCATTAAGTTACAGCCTTTTCTTACATGTTTTTGACCCTATCAAAATAAAACGTCCTTGTTTACGAAAAATTGCTAAATTAAAGCTAAAACCTAACAAAACACACACTTTACATGGCTTGAGGTGAGGGTCATTTATAGTGCTTGTGGTCTGGTTTGACTCTGATGTGTTTTGTGTGCCATTCCTTTAGCACTGTTAGCATTAGCTACTACTTTCTGTCAACCATAGATCAGTGACTATGTGTAAGGTAAAAAGAGTCCCTCAGAGTGACAAACAAACATACATATATATCAGAGTGATGAACAAACATATCTATCCATTTATACACATATATAGCAAATACACCAAGGTGAGTCTCTGTGTATGTTTCTTTCTCTTGGCTCATTTTAAAATACATTGTGCACAGTGGAACTAGACATCATCACTAACAGTGATCGCAGAGGGTCTCTGACCTGAGGAGGAGGAGGAGGAGGATGAGGAAGACATCACAGTGTGCTTTTCTTTAACAGCAATAACTGACACAAGCTACAAGCTGATTAACTATTAGCATGTGGAGACCAAAATCAAAATACCAGTTTGTGCTTGTGGGTTAAAAAAAGTAACTTTCTTGTAACCATATTGTTTTATATTAAAGTGTACTAGCTATTGTATCTATAGTTCAATCCAAGAAGAGTATTTGCTACATAATGGGACATTTACATCATTGTGTCATGTTTTATAACTTTAGTTAGGGACCAGGTGCAGACACAGAAATTATGTGGCTTTGGTGAAGAGGAAACTGGGCTTTAATGGGAGTACACAGAAACACAACTAGGTAGGTGTGTACGGACACAGGTACAATGGCTGACACTGGTGAACATGAACTCAGGTAGTTACTCTTGCACATGCTAAGGCAGGAGTACATACAGGTAATGGTGGGCTGGAGGCAGACTTGGGCTTCTTGCAATGCTGAGCTACACTTCCTTTTCAAGAATCAGTGGGTTCAAACGAATCAGAGAAGCCACCAGGCTCAGGAGCAGGCTACAGAATGGGTCAGGGACAATGCAGTTTATTACAGGATATGGTGAGATAAACTGTAATTGGAAGAAGATGAACGTGGGCGGAGAAGGGAATAAGAATTAGAAAACAAAATAAGGTGGCTGGTTCGAGAATGGGAGGGGGAAACCCAGGGTGGAGAACAGGATCAAGATGCACTGGGGTACCACTGCATCGTGCGCATACTGAAATGCACTTTGGAAGTGACTTAACCGCATAGGAATGTAAACTCTAGATGTCACTACAAGCTGGGCAGAAAACACACAATACTGAGTATCCAAGTATGTTTTTACAAAATGTGACTATGTGTTTGACACCACTTCTCTCTACACAGTCTAACAGGTGACGAACACACTGATACCAGCAGGTAGATTGTTCAAACTTATGAAGTCAAAGCAACATCAGAAACACACACCTGTTTGTTCTCATTCCTCAAAGAGACTCATTAATTTGCTGGAGCCGTAACCCAACCTTAACTATAACCACTGCTAACCTTTGGCCATGCAATGTGAGTTTTAAAACAGGTTTCACTCCCCACAGTGTTAGTAGTACCAGGCACACACACACACACACACACACACCTATACACAGATAGTTTACATATATGCAAATGCAAAAAAACACAGAGTCATTCAGACTCTATAGGGACAAGCGTCTAGTTGCTCTGCACAGACTGGAACATGTTTGAAGGAATCAGAAACTTTAAAGAAACAGTTTTAAACACTGGGAATCTATATAAAAGTTTTTGTTCTATGCATTTGATAACTAATAAACTTCAGAGTATACATGCTGGCCACTGCAGCACATCTTCAAAATCTTGATTTGTTGATATTGACATGTTTTAATATGGACATATTTATATTTCCTTAAATCTTTTGTGACAGCTGACGATGATGATGTCCTTTGGGGTTATAAAAACTACTGAACGACAGTTTTTTATGTAATGTTTTTCTGTGGAAACATTAAACAGCCCTAAACCTGAATGCCACTTACAGTATATAAAATTAATTTGAGAAGCTCCCTGATCTACTTGCCCTACACACTGGGTAAATATCTGGTATTATAAAAGCACCCAATGCCACTGCTCCCTCACAGATGCAATGCCCCCGAGATGAGGACGCACTCATCCCTCGGCCTCGCGGGAGTTTGCCTAAGGTGTGTGCTGCAGCGCTTGCTGCCATAACAATACTAGGCACCATGGCACTGTCTCCCGAAAGGTTACTTGGCTGGGTTGCCATGGTAACACTGACCTTGACCCTTGGCCCTTTGCTGCACGGACTCTGCCTGGTGGTGGAGGAGATGCTGAACCATTCCAAGACAAGGTGAGAGCTCAGCTGGAGTAAGAGGACATTGTGGTTCAAACATTCAGTGCTTGTAGCTTTTACTGATGGTCTGATACTCAGGCTTTATGTTCTTGCTCTTCTTGGTCATCAAACCTTTATTTACCATGTGGCCACTCTGGACTGAATACCCTGATACTGAAATACCCTTTTTCCCCATTCAATCTCCATACACAGCGTAAGTCCCGCCTTTACCTTTTATCATTAAGTTACAGCCTTTTCTTACATGTTTTTGACCCTATCAAAATAAAACGTCCTTGTTTACGAAAAATTGCTAAATTAAAGCTAAAACCTAACAAAACACACACTTTACATGGCTTGAGGTGAGGGTCATTTATAGTGCTTGTGGTCTGGTTTGACTCTGATGTGTTTTGTGTGCCGTTCCTTTAGCACTGTTAGCATTAGCTACTACTTTCTGTCAACCATAGATCAGTGACTATGTGTAAGGTAAAAAGAGTCCCTCAGAGTGACAAACAAACATACATATATATCAGAGTGATGAACAAACATATCTATCCATTTATACACATATATATTGAAAGGGTTTTTTTTGCTGTCATTGAGCTCACTGTTGTAGTTGACTCAGAGCTAATTAAAACATGTCCAGCATTTTAGAGTTTGAGCGTTAAACCATTGACTGCCAAACACTTTCTGTTGTATATACAGTAAATATGCAGATGCAGGTAGAGGTTACCGCTGATCTTTGTAACAGGATGTTAGTAACAGTAATTGTGGGGCATCCTCTAGTGTAACAGGTACACAGTACACATTCAATGACAGAAACAACAGTACCTTCTTTCCTTTCTGCTTCTCCCAGGTATCGAGGCCGAGGGCTGCTGGGACATGTACTGCAAGCCAGCGGTCTTATGGGGAAGACTCTGCTGGCTGCAGGACTAGCAGTCCTTCTGCTCTACCTGGTCGGAAATCCTCTGCCACACAAAGGCCAGTGCTGGAAACTCCTCTTCCTGGCCTCAGCTGTTTACACACTGTTTAAAAGCCTGGGAGTTCTGGTGAGATCCAAATCGGAGAAACGCAAACTCCACTTTTTGTTGTCTTTCTGTCTACGTCTTTCTCTTCCACTGCAGCACAAACACGAAACTGTATCTTCTGAACATTCTAAGGAAGAAGATTTATGTCCTTCCTGCATTTAATGGATTTAAGAGGATAAAGTGTTCCAAAGCACTTTGGGAGAGTATTGATAGATCCATACCAATATTGTTACTGTAGATACTACCTTGTATTGCAAAATCTTTTTCCTCAATCCAAGATAGCTCACAGTGGTACCCATACACAAAATACCTCAGGGATATCAGTGAAAACCTTTTGTTTAAAAAGGTTAACTCAGGTAAAACAACATTATTCCACTTTCAACTCCTTTGTTGCATGTTGTTCATATGTGTGGACAATTAAATTCATTTAAAATGAAACCAAATGTAATTATTATTATTACTGTAAATGTGGCACAATTTTGAATAATAAATATTTTTAAAATTCAGAATAATTTTTCTTATAATTCATGCATTGCATATGAAGGTTAAGTGGTTTTGACTAATGATCAGGCCCTGTTGTCAAATATCTACTGAGTTCTATCTAAAAATATATTTGCCCTACATATGAAAGGGCCGCTCAAGTGCAAGGATGCCCCTTTCCTTTGCCTGACATCTTCCAGAAGATGTCAGGCAGCTCCTGAGCGGAGGTGAGGTGTTGTGACAGCCTTCCAGCTGTTTCTGTGCTCGGTTTGCAGGCTCCGTCAGAGGTGGAGGTGTCAGACATCTGCGAGGGAAGGAAGATGAATGTGGCCCACGGCCTGGCCTGGTCTTTCTACCTGGGTTACCTGCGACTGGTGCTGCCACGTCAGTAGCATCAACACACACACACACCTATACTGTACACACCATGGACATTTGTTTGGTCCATCTTGTCTTTCAAATTACACCCCTGTTGTTTGAATACCCAAGTCTGTGGACTTTATATTAATTGGATACACTGTAAATGTCTTTAGGATAACCTCTGGGCTTCACCCTGTCAAACATGAATCTGTCCTTTGTGGTTTAAAGGCTCACAGTGCACCTTGTACTAAACTGTAGTGGCTCTACAGACATTCATTCCATGAATAAATATGTGTGTGTGCCCTCTCAGGTTTGGAGGATTCCATCAAAGCATTTATTGCCAAACATCAGGAGAGCTTTACCTTCTTGGATCGCGGCTCCAAAAAGCTCCTTATTCTCATCCCTCTCAACGCCAGCATCTCTGACAAACTGGAAGACCAGGACGACCGCATCTGTTTTTATGACAACCTCCCCAACAACGAGATCAACAGGGCAGGGGTCAGAGGCCGAGTCTACAAGCACAGTGTTTACAGAGTACAGGATGAGCAGGGGAAGGTAGGTGGGGGTGTGAAATGATTGTGTGAGAGCGTGTTTCTAAAATGATGCTGTTACAAGTTAAGCAGATGATTAGTTATATGGATCAGATTACAGGCTCAGAAGAACACTATTCAGCCAGTATTGAATAAGGCAACCAAAGAACCTGCAGGTGAAATGCCACTGAGCTACTTGTGCTGTAATTCAGCTCAGTGTCAGTCTTCTGACTGCCAGTGTGGGCTGAGAGCCTCACTGTGCTGATATTTTCTCCTTTGATCAGATTTGTAAAGACTGCACAGTTTAAATGTGACAGAGAGAGAGAGGCACAGTAAAGTGACAGACTCGAGAGGCTGGTTTTTCAGTGTTTAAAGAAAGCACATCAGTGTGCTCTATATCCAGTGTGTTTGAAGTAGAAAATCTAACAATGATTGTACTCAAAACCTGCTGTATTTTAGTCAAGGAAGGAAAGGAAGTCTGGGGCAGCATGAAAGCATCCAGAGCATCATGTCGGACCAAAAATAGCTACCAGGTATTTCAAAGTGATTAACCAGGACGATGTCACGGCTGCCATCATTACACAGAATGAGATGATGAATGCTGACTTTTGACATTTACTCCAGTGCTGAATTTAAGTACAGTTTGAAAGTACTTGTTTTTAACTGAGTATCTCCATTTTAAGATACATGACACATTTACTCCGCTACATTTCTGAGATCAGTATTGTAGTTTTGGCTTCATTACATTTATCAAACAGCTGTAAGTAGAGTTTCATTACAGTTTCAGATTTTACATACTAGGGCCATACTCGTGGTTGTTTTTAATGTCTTACAACCTTTATCTTGCTATTGTTTAATCTATAAAATGTGAAAACAATGTGACAACTGTCCACCACATTGCATATTGGGACATCTTCATATGTCATTCTTTTGTTGACCATCACTTTGAAACACAACCAGTTCAGAGTTGTTGGCTGAAAAATTACAGTTAATTGTCAAAATGGTTGCCAATAAATTCCCTGTTTATCAGATCATTATTTTAGCTCTATTGTAAATACACTGTATGGCACAGACCTCCCCAACTGTTTATAGTTATAATTAGCTCCACATTGACTCGCTAGAGCATTAAAATTCTAGTTTTAGTCTTTAATTCAAGTTTGTGTTAACGCATAAGTAATAATATTTCCGTGATATTTATATAAATACAGTAGATAATGAGTTTTGAGAGGGGCTATTTATTTAGTGAATAGCCTACAATTATTTTAATTTTGAAGAGTAAGACATCCTTCCTTTTACAGAGTGATTGACTAATTTTGCTGACTTCATAGGTTTTCAGTGCTTGAGCTACCAATGTAGTAAATTTACTATTATCACATTACAGTAACTGTTACATGTAGCTGTAACATCTCTGACACACAGGTTTGGCTTCAAGAGCAAGACTTCAGAAACTGGCAAGTGAAAGTTAAAAAAAACAAACTAATATGCCGTATATAAAGTTCAGTGCAAGTGAGGCAGACCAACGCAGACCAAGGCAAGGTCAAGATCAGGTAGACAAACTATGTTAAAGCAGCCTAGACCACTAACACAGTTTGGGAAATGGCCACTGCAACAGGTATGCAAAAATAAATAAATTAAAAAACTGAATGAGACAATGAGCAGCAGGTGTGCAGGGAGGTCAGGTGATGCAAACAGAAACAGCAGGGTCTGAAACTGCAGGAGATGCTAATGAGATACAGGAACAACAGGAGGAGGAATAGATCCTCGGCACAGGTGGCTGATGTAACAGTGGCTGTCGTTTCACTGAAGTTACACACCATTTGCAAACAATATATAATTGCTAGACTCTATATAATATATAGCGTATCTATTACTATCACTTCAGTAACACTTGAATGAAAGATTTTACTTGCAAAATATTTTACATTGTTGTATTGCTACTTTTATTTCTTCCACCACTGATGAGAAAATGAATGTTCAAATTGATGTGAATGACGGCCTTCCTGTTAAGAATGATGGATTTATTTTCACTCTGAATACAACAGGATAAAAAGCTTTAGTCCTATTGTCTTAAACAAGCCGTTTTTACAGAGGTGATTTGTATTTACATTGCTCCCATCCTGCTGTTTCCCTTCCATAGTAGCGCACGAGTGTCGCCTTGTGGTTACATGTGAGAATTCACCATTTGTTCTCCAAATCTATTCAAACACAGCAACAGCGCCATCTTTCTGTGAAACATAGTCAAACATCTCTGGTGCAACAGTGTCACAAGCTTTTAAAGGATTATCTGTCCAGGAAATGTATCTGGTCTCTGAGTGTCTGTTTTGTTCATGTGTGTGTGTCAACAGGCCCATGATTGTGTGGTGGAGTATGCAACACCTCTGCTGACGCTCTATAGCATGTCCCAAGAGAGCAGCGCTGGTTTTGGGGAGCCTGAGCGCAGACAGCAGGTCCTGCTGTTCTACAAGACCCTTCAGGAAATCCTGGACCGCTCGCTGGAGTGTCGAAACCGCTACAAACTCATCCTGCTCAATGGTAGGAGGACAGCATGAGACAGACCGCTTTTATGAGTTTAGCTCTTAGCGTAATCAGGACTTGTGCATTTATGGATTCTTTTACAACATGTTTTAGAAAGGTTTATTGATTCACTTACACTGCACAGTATATCCTGTAACTGAAATAAAGGAAGAAGGTCAGAGTGTCAGTGTTGGGAGCCTTCTTGATTTTGGTCCAATTATCTCTGGTCCCAGTTGAACTTTTTGTTTTTGTAATAGCGGCAAGAGTCTTTTTGCTCCCCAGGTTCTTAGATGAGCTTACTGTTTTAACAAAGATAAACCTTTTAAAAAGAATGAATTCAAAACAAATAAACAGAAAGGTTTTCTCCTTTTTCTAGATGAGCAAGAAGATGACTCCCATGCCCTGTCCAAGGCCATCCTCAGACACCTGCAGCAGCAGGAGAAAGAAGAGTTCTGCCTCACCCCACCTCCGAACCAGGAGATGGCGCACCCCTTTGCTAGTAGGTCAAGTAACCCTCCAAATTCTGTGCCCATGAACGGTGTATGGCACTGCCAGGAGGCAATGAGCAGTGAGCCCACACTCGAGATCAGCATGGAGAAACCTCAGCCTCTAAAGGAACCTGTGGAGAACACCGAGCATTTTGATAGCCTGACATAAACACACAGAGAGAGGAACACACACACTCCTCTCCTGTCATTCTATAATCTTGTTATATAAACCTCCCAGATTAGTAATTAATAATAACCTCTTGATATTTTCTGGTATCTGAGCTTCTTAAAGGTTTTATATACAGGTTCTAAGGCCTGTGTTTCAATTAAATATAATAATGTTAAATAAGTACAAACCTTTGCTTAAATGTAGAGTTGACCTTTTCTATAATTGATGGTTTAGATCGTGAGAGTTTGAGGAGCTACAGAGCTGCCTGACCAGTGTTGAGTAAAATTGTTAACAAAATAATACATTAGGATTAGTTTTAATATTAGACTGAATTAAGAATTTAGTTAGTAGAAGATTGATACTATGTTTGTTGATTAGTTAACTTGTTTGTTTACTGTGTGTGCATATGATTATTCTATCATATTAAGAAAATGAATAATTAGGATTTAGTTTAGAGCATACATAAGTTTATATATTTTACTCTCACAGTTGTGTTTATGTTTATGTAGTTACATATCACCTTAAGTCTGCATTGAATCACTGGTCAGTATTTACTGTGTTAGCCAACTGGGGACTGTTTAACAGCAAGGGAGACTGATTCACTAAACACTGAGAACTCATTAGATTTACAGCTTTAGCAAAGAGGGTTCACAGTTGTTTTATGATCACCACCTGGCTGAAGAGGCCAGGGAATTTGGGGTCACTGGGACACTAGGGGTAAGAAACAGAGATTAGATCTGAGGCCAGGAAGAGAAAAGACAACTTTAAAAGACAGGGCCATATACAGACACACAGGCAAGATAGTTTAGTAGCCAAATGGAAAGCCATGTTTTATAGAGTGTAGTTATACAAGGGCACATTTGAAATTGTATAAAAACAACTGAATGGAGGAGGACAGCGTTCCTTCTCCTCCTGTAGTCAGGTTGAACGGTTTTGCTGTTGAGGTCAGGGCTTCAGATAGAGATGGAACCCAGAGCTCTGTAAATTGCTTTATTCGATGGTCTGTTTAGTTATGATAATAAATGTTTGAAAATTGATATTTGATTCCGATTATTCTTCATGAAGAACACGCTACACCAGCAACAGTAGGCGAGAGCACATTTACATACAATGCTTCCTGACTGAGATATATACAGTATGTTACTGTCTTTGTGTCAATATCAACCACAGCTAATGACCCATAAAAGCAACAAATGTATGCAGTATTAATACTGACTTGTATTTACAAAATATACTAGATGCAGGACTGATACAGTACTGTATATTGATACAGTATACAGTATATATATTCAAACAGTATGTGTGCAGTGGAAAATCCCCAGACTGACTGTTCAGAGAGCACACCTTGCTTTAGTGCTAAGAGAGTGCTGTTACTGAAGGTGTTGTTTAAAAATTAATTCATCTTCCTCCTTCGTCTTGTGGAGAAAAGGACCTGATCGTCTGCCAACATCTGCTCATCTAGTTCATATGTGTTTAAACTCACAGTCCAAAGTGGAACAAAGACTGTGTGACGTCCTGTACTCCTCCTGTTGATACTACCAGATAGTCCACTGACTACTAGCCCTTGTAAAGTTTCAAAGAAACCATAGTGGGATATTTAAAATGCAAAGATATGGCCCACAGTGACAAACTGAATACGTTCAGACTGTCACAAATTGTGCGAAACTAATACTTTTATTGTGAAGTTTAAGGACTGTTATTTTGAAGGCATTCATTATAGGCAAAGTAGACTTATAGGTAGACTAGGAGAGAGACAGTGGAAAAACAGGAGACAGCAGGAAGATGTGGTGCTTGAGAACGTGTGGGAAGAAGGAGAAAGACGCACAACAGTGTGTATGACTGTATAAACAAAATAAGTAGACACAAGACATCTGAGAACACGCCTGTTTTTCTGAGTCTGGCGTGGGCACACACATGCACACACCTCATGACCCACAGCACTGCCGCAGAAAGTGCTGTTAACAGCCTGTCTGTTTTCTTGACAAGGCAGAGGTGAGGAGGAGGGAAGAGGGAGCTCAGCCACGCCACACTGCATTATCTACACAGCTGTTTAAATACTGCATATTCAGATGGTTTATATGATGTGCAAATGTCAAATGAAAATCAAACAATGAAGCATTCTTCAAACCTTAGGTGCACCGGTCAGTGTTAAGCCAGTGGCTTCCAACCCATGGAGGGGATAAGACAGAAGGAACTGTGTTCTCCTAAATGTAGTGTGCCTATGTCATCTGACATTTCTCTAATAATTCTTTTTTTTTTCTTTTGAAATGCTTTATACTTTCTCCTATTGGTCCTCTGGACATCCTTCAAATAAAACAAACTGAGAAGGAAAATGCAGTTCTGGGCTCTGTTTCTAACTCACCTCCACATGATAAAAGTAGACTTGGTGAATTTTAAGGGAAACAGATAAAAGCTAACTGTTTCTTCCCGTTTTTAGTCTTAAGGTCAAGGTAACCTAATGGCTCTTGCCTCATATTACACAGGCAAACATGAGATTGGTAGCATTTTTCTCATCTAACTCTAATCATTCATCAATCATGAAGCTGTCACATTTTATCTTTGTAACTTGTGATGGAAATGTGACATTGTTTCATACATTTTACATGGCAATAAATATAAATTAAAAAACATTTATAGTTGCGCTAGAACAAAAGGGATCATTTGTTTTAACCCTTGACGAAACTGTGGACAGTAACGTGGTCTTACAGTTTTTTGCAGTTGCTAACATCCATTTGTCCATTCTGTATTCACATTTTCAAAACTCTAAACACAATTATCACAACATCTGTCTGTTGTGACCATACCATTAATACAATTAATGTCATTTTCACACAAAATTTAGTCAATGCACACATTTCTAAAATGCTTACATTTTCTTTTCCCACACGCTTACCCCATAGCAAAATAATGGATCTTTCAAATATCTCTAACAAATGCTTAAACACATCATGACAGAATTGAAGACCTAATGATCCAAACTTTAAATATAATGTAAAGCCTCTACTTTTGCCACAACAGCTCAAAGAGCTGATAAGAATTATTGTTCTACTTGGGAAACAGCTGGTTTGACACT